GGGGGGGACGGACACTGACTACATCTGATGGACTCAAATCCACACAAGCTCTTTCGATAATTAATGTGTTTGTATTTCAGGTAGTAGGGACGTGGGTGGCGCTGTGGCTTAAACCACAGAGCCTAGGACTTGCCGATCAGAAGGTCGGCGGTTCGAATCCCCGTGAAGCGGTGAGCTCCCATTGCTCGGTCCCTGCTCCTGCCAACCTAGCAGTTCGAAAGCACCTCAAAGTGCAAGTAGATAAAAAGGTACCGCTCCGGGGGAAAGGTAAACGGCGTTTCCGTGTGCTGCTCTGGTTCTCCAGAAGCGGCTTAGTCATGCTAGCCACATGACCCGGAAGCTGTACACCGGCTCCCTCGGCCAATAAAGCAAGATGAGCGCTGCAACCCCAGAGTCGGCCACGACCGGACCTAATGGTCAGTGCTCCTTTTACCTTTACCTATTTCAGGTAGTGGTGGGGAACCAGTGGCCCTCCAAATATTTCTAGACTCCAGCTTCCATCATGAGGACTTGTGTACCAATGTTAGGGCTAGCACCACCACCAAGCAGCATTGGATCAGACAGCAGTAGCATATGCCAGGGTCAGGATCTCAACTCTTGTTCCTTGATTTCAACTGCACTACTATAAGCTGCAGGGCAAGACGCCTGCTTCTTGGGAGAAGGGCAATGACAGGCCTAGACAGCATCTTGAGAAGTAGAGACGTCACCTTGCCAACAAAGGTCCGTACAGTTAAAGCCATGGTTTTCCCAGTATGGAAGTGAGAGCTGGACCATAAAGAAGGCTGATCGCTGAAGAATTGATTCTTTTGAATTATGGTGCAGGAGGAGACTCTTGAGAGTCCCATGGACTGCAAGAAGATCAAACGCATCCATTCTTAAGGAAATCAGCCCTGAGTGCTCACTGGAAGGACAGATCGTGAAGCTGAGGCTCCAGTACTTTGGCCACCTCATGAGAAGAGAAGACTCCCTGGAGAAGACACTGATGCAGGGAAAGATGGAGGGCACAAGGAGAAGGGGGCGACAGAGGACGAGATGGTTGGATAGTGTTTTCAACGTTACAAGCATGAGTTTGACCAAACTGCGGGAGGTAGTGGAGGACAGAGGTGCCTGGCGTGCTCTGGTCCATGGGGTCACGAAGAGTCGGACACGACTAAACGACTAAACAACAAGAACTATAAGTTGCAGCATCAGGGTAGCAACATAAGTATAATCATACAGGCTTTCCTTACAGGACTGTGCAAATAATTTCTGAAATGATCTGTGTGAAGTGCTTGGACATTTGAAATGGGTTTTAAAATGTCTGTCATCATCATCATCATTCAGAGGACGCAACACATAGAGCTTTGCCACACTCCCCATTGTATCAAGAAAGTCCTTGGGTGTGGCAAGCTTATATTCATCTGGACCATGAGATGGCATGGAAATGGGCCATGGGTGGGTGGCTACTGCTAAAGTAAAGGACTCAGTCCTGGCCTCCTTTTCAACAGTAGTGCAAAGCTACAGGTCACAGTGTTGGACTGGCTGATGAAAGGAGCATCTTGTCCCATATAGTTAATGGCCCAAGATGAAATATGGGTCAGGGCATTTGTTTGCGATGAGCTGAGGCAAACAACAATTTGTGATCCAGGTAAGGAAATATCACAATAAGGTATTGCTGCATTTTAAGAGGTTTTCATATTTAGGTGAACTGGAAGCACAGCATGGTGTGGTTTTTTAAGAAACACCTCTTACAATAATCTTAACTTTGAAAAATTAGAAGCATATGTAATTTTCTGCAGAAGTACTGCTAGGAAAGTAGTCTAGTGCAAAGAAATGGCTGAAATGATAACAGTGGTGAGAAAGCATCTTGAAGGAGTAACAGCACACTTTGACAATATTTTCACACAGCCCCTCCACATCCTCCCTATTACATCAATTACCAAAACCTGGTGTTTGCTTAATGAGATCATTTCAGGGCCTCGGAAGGGAATATTTCAATCTGCAAATGCCCGAATAAGGCACAGAAAAACGTTAGTCACTAATGCAGTGAATCACGTGTGTGTGTGTGTGTGTGTGTGTGTGTGTGTCCCTGTCTGTCTCATCTGACATCCCAATGGTCGCTTAGAGCCTATTCTGTTTACCTGTATGATATGGGCTCTCTATCGATGCTCCCCCGCAAAACCAAAGATATCAGAGTATAAAATGAGCACTGAACTAAAATTCTTAATTTACTAATTCATATTCATCAAATTATAAAAGAGAGGGGAGGGGGAAAACCCTGCATTTTTATGAGCATATTTACATAAATCATTTGCTGGAGCATCCTAACACTAAATGGTCGAAGTCGAGCCCCCTAACCATTTGCACGCATGCTTCTCCTCAGACATGAAAATATTGGCGTTTCAGATTTTCATTGAAAAGCCTGGCTGCGCTGGAACTCTAATGGGCTTAGAACAGTAAATTTTGAGGAAACTGATTGCTACCCCTGTAGCTAGTAAATGTCTGCCTAGACCCAGTGGCATTTGAAAAAAGTGTTTTATCATAAAATTATCCCAGCAGAGTCCATTCTGCAAGATAACATCATCATCATCACCATCATCATCAGTACTCTATGCAGGACCCAACAGCTCTGGCACAATATTGCCAGTCATTTATCTGTTGTCAGCACAGGTTACACACTGTAATCCTTGACTGCCTCGGAATTAGAATGTCTTTGATGTCCCCACAAGAGTTTTTTTGCCCGAAGGCTTTACCAATGCTCGGCGGCTCAGTGTTTATTCCTCGTAATCTTCCTCTCATCTCCAGGCTAGCAGTGACAGATGGTTATGGGCACACAATAGTATTAAGAGTTTGATATTTTTTTTTTTTATGCTGTGCTCTCTGTACAACAAATAGCTATCAGACGCGGGCCAGAGAGCTGACATGGCTCGCTTAGGTAATGGCAAACAAACAGCTCGGGTTGATGCTTTCTGTCATTTTCCCTGCTAACCCTGCTTGTTTTCATTGTATACTCTCAAAGGTAAACTATATTAACCTTATAGACTGTTATTAAAAAGATATATCTATATGAGCATAAAGTGCCTTTCTCCCCCCTCTCTTTTCCTCACTCTTTTGATTATGAAAGTAATACTGCTGACATATTGAACAAATATCGAATGTCAACATAAATTTTTAGTATGTGATAATATTCCCCTTCATATAGCCGTGTGTCAGGCGGGAACCCGTGGATGATGCATAGCAGTAAATAACCCAAACAAAATTAGTTCTCTTGTCAGCTTCTACCTTGTATGTCCCCAGGCATCAGTAAAATTGACTGCACGCTAGATTTTCAAAATTAGCCCTAATGTTAGCTGTGTGTCTGGCAACCTCCAAGTTTCCAATGTTCTACTATATTACCCGTAAGGATGAATGTGTTACTTTTATATTTTGGCATTTGATCTTGCTGATGTGGCTTTCCCCCCCCCTCCCCTCTCCTCCAAATTAAAAATAATTTAGCTTTAACAATAAGCATGTGCACAAACACCAGGCTGCATCTCTTTAAGCAACTAACTTTAGGCAATTAAATTAAATTAAACAAAACAAAAACCCAAATACACACAGAAAGAAAAGGAATTATTCAATTTAATATTGCTCGTTTTATTAATTTAGCTTTGCCCTCCTTTATGCAGAATGCAGAATAAACAGAGGGCAAATGTTTTGTTTTTCATTTAGTCTGCAACTAGGGGAAAAGGAAATATATATTTTAAGAGGAAGGCTTAGAATCATCAGAGTTTTGGCATTTACCTTGACGCACCTTTTTACTGTAAAAAGAAGAAGAAAAAGAACTAGGAACTATAGTACCAGATTAGTGAACGTCATAATCCTGACCACAAGTGGAATTGCAATTAATATCTGTCCTGAGTACATCAAATTGTAAAATAACCTATGAGAATACAGCATTTTTGAGCTAGCAGCAATAAAATATGATTAAAAATAAATGTAGCTCCCTGAGAAAGGCTATACAAGAAGTGTGAAGTTGATTAAACAAATCCAAAGACAGATTCCACATCGACTTCCAATTCCTACATTTTATGTTCAGACATTTAGAGTCAAAGATGAAAATCCCTTTAGGTACCAGATGCTGCAGATCATCTGGGAGAGCTTCTGGAGTTTTAATGTGCTGGAAGTCAAATCCTCTGCAAAGGCGATTTGCCCTGTCGGTGTGGTGTACTTATTGCTTCACCTGCGAACAGTTGCTCTCAGAAAATCTGACCTACTGATCGACCCAGCATCTCTGAAATAAACAGACTATAATCTGTGGATGAAGTGAACTCTAATCAGGCCACATGCAGATTAAACAAACTGTGAGGAATAAAAACTAGATTAAAATGTTCGTGCCCAATACCGGAAGATTATCAGGACATTTTACCTCTTTAAATCCTAATTTATGGTGGGAGTCAAGCTAAACTTTATATATTTGCAGTGATTATGTGGCGTGGTAGATTTTCCGCAGTTTAGAGAAGATTTTGTGATCAGGTATTTGTGTCAACAGCTTGAAAAGCAGCAGTTTTCGGGTAGGAATATTCCATTCTATCCGTCTATCTACAGAGCCTTACATATGTGCATATGTTTTAAAAATCTGGACAGGTATATAAAAAAACTACGACACAGAGCAGCATAGTATAGCCCTGAATTTTAACACCTAGTCAGTCACATTAGTATAATTAAGATAATTTAAATAACACTGCATATTAAACATCATTAGTGGACTGAAATGCTCTGAAACAGAGTTCTCAGCGTTTTACATATCATTTCAATGTCATAACTATACCTCTTCTTTCCCACCCACACAACCCATCCCGCTTCTCGTACGCTGAACGCCTGCTGTGAATTTCAGCTTTTAAATGACATCATTTGTTTTCAGTAGACCACTACCTTTCCAAAGATATAACATGCAGAGCAAAACAATATTGGTACTAAATCAACGTTGTATGCAATAACTCGCCTGAAGATACAGCATTTTCATTTGGTGTTATACTTACCATCTGTGTGGCCAAACAATGTGCAAAGGTTTCTCCAGATGGTCCAAACTACCTGAGACGCTGCACAGGTTGTAAGTTGCATGTTGGCTATCTTCCTCTTGACAAGGGGTTGTGCTTTTCAAAGATGTAGGCTTGTCCAGATCTTCTAGTGTCAGTAGTTGGTTGGGCAGCCCCTCCGGTCCCAGGGAATGAAGTCCAGACTGTGGTTCACTATGTCTGGGACTAAGGTCAGAGGCGCTGATGTTTATTCCACCATTCTTTTCTTGGAAAGGCAGACAGGCATCTCCATCTCCTTGAGTACCATGCATCTTCTCAATATGGGCGAGTTTGTGTTCTGGCATAAACCTAGAGTTAAAAACAAAAGAAAATTAAATTATACTTGCTCCAAAATGGCATCAATTACTTATGTCAGCTTGCAATTTTTGAATACTATCTTTTTTTAAAAGACAAAAAGCTGCAATACAAAAGCTGCTTGAATGGTTCTGCATAGTGGTGGCTCTGTCATCTTAAAATTCATTTGCCACATGATAGAGAAAACAAAGAGCAAAATGTTTCCAAGGGCTCTGTTTTCCAGGTCAGAGTTCCTGAGGCCATTGGAACTGCAGAGGCTGAAGTGAGGCAAGTGGAATATACAGCTCTGTTGACCAGGCAAGGTCCAAATCCTGCCCTTTCACCAATCCACCCATCACCCATGGAGGGCTGCTCTTGTGAGAGAAACAGCTGGTGGTGCTCCAACAGGGCTCTCTGGAAGGGGTCCATCTTCAGAGTGAGGCATTGTGGGTAAATTTCCTGTGCCACTTCCACTTTGCCAAAATAGTGGCAAATCCTGTTTAAAGTTCAACATTAAATTTAAAATTTAAGCAGGATTTGCCACCTGAGCAGCAAATTGGCAGTGTCAGTGTCTGGAACCACCTCACCCACAAAGCCTTACACAAAGGAAGCACCTCCTTTCTCACAGTTGGTTCTTAGGAGAGAAGATGGCCTTGGCACATGCAAGTTCCAGGTCAGGGAAGAAAGGGAGGAGGTGACAGAAGTCACCTGCCACAGGTGTAGAAGGTTGCAACAGAGTTGAGTGAGGCCGCTTCAGAAACAGCGCAATGTGTTGCGCCAGACCCCCGGCCTACAGCAGTGGCTTTTCAAGGCACCAGGCACAGTATTTCTCAGCTTACTTCTTGAGGTCTCTTTCTGATGGAAATATGCAAAAGCCTGTGCCTACTGCTGAGCTACAGTCCCTCTCTTTAAGTCCCATGGAAACACCAGATAGTTTTGACTAATTTAAGTTGTACCCCCCATTTTTTAAGGGGAACTACTTAATGATCAGCTTGGGGACATCCCTGTTGTTAAAAGTTTCCATGTTCTCATACGATAACATTGCAAATAGTTGCATAATCTCCCATAAATGAATGGTGGAAAACTACCACTAATACTATTACTAAAAACACAGCCCAATCCCAATAGTTTGTTCTATGTGGTCTTCTGTCTCCTTACCCAGATTCTAGTCCTTGTGCCCAATTATGCAGTGCCTCACTTCCAGCTATTTTCCAGGTTTAAGTTCTCATAAATCCATTGTGGGATTTTCAGTTATTAGATAAGATGTCAATGAAAACAGCTGCAAAATATATTTTCTACAAGATGTACGTGGAAAACCCAAGCTGGGCACAATCAGGACTTTTTCTATCTACTTGCATTACAGACATAAGACTAATCACCTCGACAGTTTTTAAAGTAGTTAGTTTGTAATACTGTTCGCTGAATGATTTTTAAAGCAAGATTTATTTCATGATATATCAAGGAGTAAGTATTATCCACATTAACTTGGCATTGTTTTGGCACCAAGTGGTTCTGTATATCTTAATAGCAATAGTGCAGACATAATAAAACCTGCATGCTGAGAGTCACAAAAATGATTTTTTAAAAAGTTTGCAAGTTAGCTTAGGTGGTTGAGCTTTCACTATGCATCATTATATCTAAAAACACAAGACCTTTTATAATCTATGGAACACAGGACAGTCTACATCACAAATCATACACAGTACAACCTCTATTGTCAACATGGCAGGAATGATATGACAGACAATCTATTGCCCAGCTGCTACTCAAATGGTTTGCATGATGCTTTAACATATCACTTGAAATTAAGAACTAGAAACGGACATGATGATGAAGGAACATTTCAAATAACTTGGTAGCAGAATCTTAAAGCTGTTAAGAGTTTACCATGTTATAGAGCAGTGGTTCCCAATTAGCTAAGTTCTGTGGACCCCGTTTTTCAAAAGCTAAGCAGTGGACCCCCTACTTTTGAAAATTTTGATATTGCTATGGTAGTTTTTATTACGTGAATAGTGCCATTCAACCCCTGTGTGGGCTAAGTGGATCACCGCTTGGGGATCACTGTTATGGAGCCCTTATACAATCAGTGTAAATAGCCTAAATACTCATGGGTATGTTGGACTGTAGCAGCAGTCCATTTCCACGAATGTTGGAACTGTTACAGGAAAAATCCGAGGGCTCCCTTGGACAAAACAAAGACACCAACCAGGATAACTTGGAGCAAAACAGCAGCCTGTAGGCTTGGCCTTTATTGAACTGATGCATCAGGGTGTTCCCCTCACTTGCAGGAGAGAGGAAAGACCCAGAACAATGGGCTGCAAGACCTTATAAAAACTTTTGAAATTCCCCTCCTCTAACTCAAGCCCACCCCCAGAAACATCATGCATACATTACAGAAAGGAGTTGACATCATGCATACATTACAGAAAGGAGGGGTTGAGGGAGGAGTTGTGGTGGTAACCTGAGTGTCCTGTCACCCAGCTGGTTCCTCCTTTCCCCCTCCCCATGAGTGCCTTCCAGGTGACAATGGGGAGTTTGCAGTTTCCTGCCCCCAGAGGGAAGATCTGATCATTCTCCTTTGTTTCAGTCTGTGGTGAATCCACTGTTCTTTGTGATTTTGATTGTCTTCTGTCTGGGATCATCTGGGCAGGGCTCCTGCAGATGTGCTGAGACAGTGAAGGGATTCTGGCTGACCAGGGTCAAACCCCCCTCCCCTTCTGTTAGTTCTTGTCATATGGAGTAAAATAAAAATGGAACAGTGCAAATCCAATGTATGGTTGATTTTCTATGAATTTATAACAGAAATGTGGCGTATGTAGTGTGTGAGTGTGTGTGTGTGTGAAGTTTGTACAAGCAGAATGATTGGGGTGGGGGGTTTCCTGCTACAGTTCCCCCCTTCGGAGATAAGATTGCAAAGGTGGCTACTTTGCAATCCTTTTCTCCGCACAATTTAAGGTGGTAAATAATAACCTGGTATTCTCCGTCCCAGATGTGTGTGTCCATGTGAACCTGAAAGGGACTTGGATATCATGCTACTTTAAGGATATTTGCATGGAAATATAATGGTGTAACAGTGCACATAGTTAGACATAGGATATCACGTAAATTAATATTTTGTTGCTCAGTTACTTGTGGTATTCTAGCACCTTGGAAGAAATATTTTCTCAATAGTGATCTATGCTTTACATTTAGGCAGGAAGGTCCACTAATGACTGAAAAGTGCAGTTTGCTTCCCCCCCCACCCATTTGTGTGTTCTCAGGTGTCAAGGTAGCTCTTCTGTGGTCTCACATCGGCATGGTGTCGCAGTAGTGGCAATCCCTGCTGAATCCACTTAGGGCTTTCATGTTGCCTGGCACCCACCACAGCTGGCACAGGTTTCGGGCACGTCCTGAGAGAAATGCCTTTGCCTTGGCCAAAATCCATGGGATTTCTTCTTATTATTACAGGCTCTGGTCTTGCATCCTGGGAAGTTGCTCACTTGCACTTTAAGGACCAAAAAGCTAATTGCAGCCTGGATACACTTGCCCAATTCAAACTGAGTCCAATTTGAATTTATGTGCCCATGGTTCTCAAGTCCTCAAACCAATCTGTTAAAGGAAAACCGTTCTTAAAAGGGCACTTTGTCCAAATAAGTCAATTTAACTCTATAAGGGATCATTCCTGCTAAACCAAAGCATGTGCACCTTCATGTATCTTATAAGCTTCTCCTTGGTAAAGCAAGTTTTAGCACATTTTAAAATGGATAGGGAAAGTTGGCAGAGTGCCAAGTGGGACAATGAAATGTGGTTATCTAAACATTGGACTACACAATAGTGTGAGCTATCAGAAAGTATAAAATGCATGAGAATTGGTGTGCAAGCAATAAGACATTAAACATAAAAATTACACACAAAAATACCCCCCCTTGTGGAAATAACACACTGTCAGACACATTTCAACATTCCTACATAATAACACTTAATACAAAACAAACTAATTAAATATCAGTTGCATATCTTGACACAATTGTGATCTTTTACGCATGTATCTTTTGAATTCTGGAGTGCAGAGGCTTGAGGTTCAAGTGAAAAGATGTCCTTGCAAGTCAACTCCACCCCCCTTTGTCAGGCCCACTCCCCTGGCAGTCTATATCCTTTGAAAGAGATAGCTGTGGGCACTTGAAAACTCTGGTGTTGCAGGTCTTGTGATGGCTAAGTTGAGGGGTTGTTGCTGCTTTTCATCATTGCACATTTGTAGAAGTGATATCCTGTAAGGGGGCAGGGTTTCGGGGACTTAAAAACAGTTAGACAAGGAAGAGGCAAAGGCAAAAAGGATGTCCTCCAGTTTCCATGGGAAGCTGCAAATAATAACAATCTTAGCACATTAAGCATTTTATTCATTTCAACATTATTATCACATTTCCACATAATTACTGTTATTATCTGCTAAGTTTGTTTGCTTTCCTTCACTTGGTTTTTTGTTGTTGTTATTCTTTTCATATTATAAAATAAAAATTACTCCACATGTATAGAAAGAGAAAACTGTAAAAAATACAAAGGTTAAAAAATACAAAAGAAAGCAAAAAATTAGATTACCAGTCAGATGAAAACAAACTTGACACAAAGACATCAGATTTAGAAAAGAATTATTATTAAATATATTATCAAAACCACGCAGATTACTACTAGACTGAAAAAATGGGAAAACCATGGGGGGAAAACTTTAAATTCACCATGTGCTATCTGATAAAAGAACTTCATGAAACTGACTTTCAACATGTGATGAACATGTCCCCAAAGTAAAACACACAGACACAAAATGACCTATGAGGAACCAAAATAAATAATGCTAAGACACACAATTTTAAGAACTCTGAAGTAACAATGAAAATAAAAGAGTGTTTCTTGATGTGACAACATCGGCTAAAATGTTAATAGGAAAATACTGGAAAATGACTTAATACCAAGAAAAATGAATGGCAATTTAAAATTGTGCAAGTACCTTGCACTAGCCAAAATGACAGAATTAAGAAATG